TCAAAATCATTTCTCCAATTTTTACATGTAATTAATTGAGTGAATCTGTATAATATTATATATTTTGATAGTGTAAAAAAATTAATTATTAAATAATATATAATGTTATAAAAAAAATTAATATATACAAAAATTATTGCTAAATCATTTCCCATATTTTATCCTCAATAATGAGTGAATATATAATTTGAATTTATTGACTACTGCACAATATAAAGTTATTCAAATCTGTTTGTGTTTTACCAGCCTCAAACGTTTTGTTGGTTTGGGTTTTCTTAAAAAAATGAAACATTGTTTCCTTGACGTGTATGTAGTATATACATAATAATATCGTGGATCGTTACATCACTTGTAAAGAAGAAATTTTTTATGTTTATTGTGGAAATAAAAATTTACGTATATAACATCAAATATATATATATATATATACACACACACTCCGTATGTACATGACTTATAATAAGTTCAAATATTGCGCCAATGTGCCAAATTTATATTTAGTTGGACCAAAGCGTCATGTCAAAAAAGGTTGGACCAAAAGTGTCCGTAATATAAAATGATAAAATATATGGATGATTCACGTTAGAAATTAATGGAGGGATTTTATAACCTATAACTTATTAGCAATTGAACTTGTAAGTTTAGTTGTGTTTGTATTAATTATTTAAATATAATTCATAATTGATATTGTCTTTATTTTTATTTTTTTTATTTTCACTTTTACAGGCATGTAACTTTAGGAAAAAATTTTATATAACATAAGGAAAATGATTATAGCATTGGTTTCAATTATCATTCCTATATACTATGTACAAATATCACTTAAAATTACATACAAAGTTAATAATATGGACAAATAAATAAGAATAGAGAGATTATCTAATATCTAGGGATTAATAGTTGTTTATGAAACTTGAAAACAAAACCCCATTGGTTGTGTTTGGGAACTTGAATTTGAATTCGATGAGTGTAATTAGAATACATGTATTTAAAATACATGTATTTTAAAATATATTGTTTGGATTGAATTAAAAAAAAATGAATTTCAAATACATGTATTTTTAAATACATTGTTTGGATATTTTAAAATACTATGTATTTAAAATTGAATTT